CTGAGCTTTTGTATTAAGTCCAAATTCTGTTTTACTATTTCATGTATTATATTTTAATTTGTACTATTATGAGAAGATAAATTTTAGCTTGAAATATTTAACTAACAAGACTATGCATATACCATAAGAATATAACACATTAGTATAAGTACAATATTTACAAGGTAATTTTAATGATGCCAAAGCCTGTTCTGTGACAACATGAGGATGACTAATCTGAAGCTAAGGGAACATCAGTTTATGGTGTTGCATATATATAGAATTCATTGCAACAAAATTAAAAAAAAATAAGATAATAGAATAGTTTAACTACTGAAATTATTTTCTCTATGTTAACAAGTGTTCAGTAATCAGTAGACATGTCCATGCCCAATACAGTGGTAACTTTTTACTTTTATTCTCCTTAAGGTTATTAGCAACAAAGGCTAAAATGTAACTTCAATTTTATACCTTAGGTGTATCAAACTGAAAAAATATATAAAATATTTGTCTCACAAAACCAAGAGGAAAGGTAGCCAGGCTGAATGGATGGCCCACGCTCATTTCAAATTCCTGAATGAATATCCAAGGGGTCTGGGTATCTACTAATTTCATGACATAGATCACTTAGCAAAGGAGTAGAAACAAAAATCACAACTGATAACATTTTAAATATAATTTGCATCTTGAGGAGCAATTTTTTTCCATATGCCACCTATGTTCATCCCTCACAGTATACTGCAAAATTTAACAGTTTAAAATATCTTAAAGTTTTTGCTAGCTTCACATTAGTTAACATTTGCTCCCTTCACTTTCAATTTCATTTTTCTTTCTTACTGTTCTAAATAGAAATTCTATGACTATCTTGTGCATTTTGCATGACATAACAGCATTTCAGTAACAGCTGCAGTGGGAGTCTCAAAAATGAGAAGTAATCATAAAAGTAATATAGTATCTCTGAATGATTGGGAATAAAGTAATTCCCTTTATGCTGTAAAAGTATATGTATACACTTGAGTATGGCATGCAAACACATTTTCAATATATAATTTCTTCAATATATACACAAATGTATATATGAGCAAATACTCTAGATTGTGAAAATTTAAAGTAAGGATGTTTAAGCTCTAAAATAAGCATTTCATTTAGAAAATTAAACGTAACTGTTTACCCCGAACCAAACTCACAGTACAACTATTACAAATTGTTTTATTACCGTAAGAAGTTGTCAAGTGTAAATAGGTCACTTTTTAAATTCTTTAACATTTTCATTTATACCCCTGCAAAAAGCACAATGGGGCCAAGAAAATTAATTCCCCAAATGCTGTCAACCAGGTTGGGAAACAGCAATAAACAGCTAACTGTAAAGCCTCCAGCTACAATAAAACTGCTTTCAATAAGAGCTGAACAGGTCCTCTGGAAATGATAATCTGAAAGGGAAAGGGGCTGACATTTCTCGTCCCAATATGCTGAGGCAGTGGGTCTCAAAGTGTGGTCCCTGGATTGGCAGCATCGGTATCACCTAGGATCTTGTCAGCAATGCAAATTTTCAGGCTTGACCCTAGTGATACTGAACCTAACCTCTGGGATTAGGGACCAACAACTCATGATTTAAGAAACATTCCAAATGCTTCTGAGACACCTTAAATTTTGAAAACTTAATATTATATTTTAAAAATCATACTTATTAAGGAGATATTTTCCTTTTAGAGAAAATATGCCAATGAGCTTTGTCATTTAAAGCCCTACTGGAAATGATAATGTTGTCATCTTCTCAACCTTATAACAGTGAACTTTGTTTATTTATGAAAAAATATCAAGATATAATTTAGCTCTTTAAAAAAGGGACATTTCATTCAATCTGTGAATACTAAGGATACTTCCAAAAATTCATAAAAAATAATTTGTGGAAGATTCAGTGACAGATTTGTTATATTCAAGGAAAATGAAAGTTTAGTAAAGTAGAGTGGTTGAGGAACGTGGTTTATGAGTGTTTTATAACACATGAGGGGATACAGCAGGGGGAAAAAAGTCAGACAAAATAAGAATCAATGCACTATAACCAAACTCATGGTGTAAATGTCAGACATTATGTTTTCATTGTACAGACAATACAAACTCATGATATTTAAGTTTGTTAACCCTTTGCTCAAGAATCTTGCATTTTACTCACTTCAACTAGCACCATAAAGTGAAAGTGTGTTTCTGTTAACAGCAATCTTTGCCCACTCAACTAAAAATCTTCACAGATTATACCTTAGTTTATAAATTCCTTTGAAAGCTTTTGTTGTAATAAGCCCCACTTTTTCAAAATTGTGTTGCTTCAGGAGCACATTTTGTATTTATGTGAAGCCGCTAGTTGAAGTGAAGGAGCTAAAAGAAAGAATTTTTACTTTTTAGCTTAACTAGGACATCTTTAATAACAGCCATATAGTTCAGTGAAAAAATAATTTAAAGGATAGTATATATATATGTGTGTGTTCTTCATTCATAGAAAATATGCCTCTTTCATAGTAAAATTGTACACATTTCTATCACCATCACCTGTCCTTACTTCCAGAAGTATTCCTTTTCTACAACACTGCAATTTTTCTTTCTCAGCATGAAAACTTCTAAAAGGTGTAAATAAGAAAAGCCATTTCAGTAGCTCTTTACCATAATAGTGAATTATAGCTACATTTGAACATTGAAATGCCTACAAGGAGAACAGCATAGTAACACATGGTCTCAAGGAATGTCTAAAATGCACTTTAGTTCCAGTTAGAGAATTACTCAGCATCTTATTTCAAAGATTACATCATACAAACAAATTTCCTATGACTGACTAAGCCTCGACAAAAGATCTTTCCCATACTTTGCTGAAATGCACTTAACGTTTATGTCACTGTACTATATATAGATTCAACTTTGGGGAAGAAGTCAGAAAAAGTGTGTCTGTACATCAATGCTCATAATACCCACCATACATAATATGAAAAGAAAGATGACGACGTGGGAATAATATCAGCATGTTTCTTCGGAAAACAAATTTCAGATTTTATATGAAAAGTTTTAAATCGTGTTATATTTTTCAAGATATTATGCAAATCATAAAATATCATCAGTATTTTGAGTGACTTTCCCATTAAAAGCAAATAATAAAAAGCCATGTTTTCTTTTCATTAAAATAGCAACTTTATATTTAAATCCACTTAGTTTCAAAAGTTACTTTTATCATCATGATTAACTATTTACCAACATTTATAAACCTCTACTAAACTCAGATATTTTCTTAACTTTAAAACATCAAACCTCTTTTAAAAAGCTCATGAAGTTAACATGAAAATAACTCATTCCAAATTCTATGTATATCCAGTAACTTCCGTATTCTCCTCTAGAACCTCCAAACTGACTTATTTTAATTCCTTTCATCCTGTGCATTCAAGCTCTTGTACTTTCTAAATGCTGTAGATATTTAATCTTTTAAGAAATGTAGATTTTAGTTGTAAAATCGTAGGCGTTATACTTAATGTTCTGAACGAATCTCTGTGATTCACTGCCAAAATGATTTTAATAAATATCTTACTACCATGAAACCTTAAAGTCACTGCAGAGCAACAAACATTGGATGGTGAGAGACAGAGTTTCAATAGACCATTCTCACCAGTCCCACCACCACAGGAAAAAAAGAAAAACTCTTGACTTTTCAAATACTAAGCAATGACTGTCAATACTATCCTGAAAATTTATCTTGCTTTACTTGATTCTCTAAAATCTGTATGTTCCTTATTTTTAACAAATTCAGATGGGTCATCACCATAGGTGGACTCAATACCAACAAAGAACTTGGATTACAAAATCCTAGAAAGTTGGTGTGTGAAAGCTGATCACAAAAGAGCAAGGAAATGAACTGACATGCTAGTTGCTCCAGAGCAACTATCATTAAATAAAAGGTATCTTTGGCCATAGTACCAGCTTGATCTTTCCCTCTCCCTTTCCTTGCTACTGTGGGATTGGCAGCTGGCCAGCACAAGGGACATGATACCCTAGTGCCATCTACAGGCTATTATTGACACTCAAATTTCATGGCAACAGACAAGCACCAGTGAAATAAATTAGACAGCGCTGCATTTAAATCTTTATTAACAAGGAATTATTAGACCTAAGAAAAACTAATTCTGGATTTGGTTGAAATATGAGTTTCTCAGCCTCTTAATCCCTCTTCATATGGCATATTTCACAGTTTAAAATGAGTTAAGACAGATCACTTATGCATTACTAAGATGAGAGAATATTTACAATGGATTCATTCTTTTCTGTATAAACCAGTTCTATTAGGGAGAAAGTATTCCTTCTTCTTTTCTTTTCTTTTTTTTTTTTTTTTTTGAAAGAGTACTTTGGCCATTGTGGACAATCTGCATATCTTTCTATTCAACCCCCAATTTACTATATTACAATAAAATCATCTGAAATTAAAGAGAAGACTTCCTATATGGCTTAGTCGCAATCTATCAACAATCATGTGCTTCACAGCTGATATACATTTAATATTCTACTATCTTTTTTAGAGACTAAAAAAAAATTAACCCCTTTAGCAACCACAGCTGTAACATAATTATAGTCACACCTTCAAACATCATTTAAAACTTGAGATTTGAAGGTGACTTTTGAGATCAAATGGTAATGTGAAAATCTTGAAGCAGTCAATTTGGAAACCCCAGGAGCAGAATTTGGCCTATCAGGACAGGTTTTATTCTTCAGCAAATGTTATCTTGGGACATTTTGGAATAATTTCCTCTTTTCATCTTTTGCCATTTGAAGGAAACTGGGAGTTTAAATAATTCTCAGAACTCAGAAATTTCAAAGCTGTTCTAAAAATTCTTGACTGAGCCCCAGAGGAATAGAAAAGGGGTCAAGTTTTTTTTCCCCTCTTTATAACTAAGCTAAAGTTAGACCAAAACAAGAGACACACTGGCACGTTAATACTGGTTGACTGGGCACTTGTATGCAGTACTTATAGACCAGTAAAAGTGCTCATTTACCTGTCTGGTGTGTAAGGGGCCCTTTGTCTTGAAGCCTCCTTGGGAACTGCACTCTGAGGCACTGAAGTGATCTGAACTAGTGGAAGAGCGTTTGGAAAGGGTGTCACAACCCCCGACAAAGGTGTTGTCCAACGGGAGCTCCTGAATCACGTGATGCTTTTTCACAGAAACCGGAGTGTCTGGTTTAAGATGGAAAGCGGGCTGTGGAGAAGCGGATTTGTAGTGCTTGGCCAGGTCAGGGCTGTTCGGCTTGAAGGTGGTTGGAGGTGCCGGACCCCAGTCAAATCTACCTATGCTTTGCTCTTCCAGCTCAGCCGGCAGGCTTATTGTCCCATTGATGGGTTCGTGAACTGCATCATCGGGTTTGGACTCTTCGATGGTAACAAAGTTCAAAAGAGAGCTCTTGGGAGACTTTCTTTTCTTCCTTTTCTTTTTCTTGTTTTGTTTGTTCTCCTGGTTGGGGGACATCCATTCGGCACCTTGCTTGCTCCTCTGAGCTGCTTTGAATCTTGATGCATGGCGACAGCGCACCAGAACGGTGACGAAGATCACGACGATGACCACCATGGCACCTGCGACAATGGCAATCATGATGGTGAGATAGTCCTCGTTTTGATAGGGTTGGCTGCTATCACCTATGTTCCTGTCCAATGGGGTCTCCATAGTCCTGCGAATCAAGTCATAGATATAGGAGGCATTGCCAGCAGTGTCATTAACATAAAGAAAAACAAGCACAAGTGTGTGCAGAGACTTAGGGTATCCCAGGTCACTTATGTTGACCACCAATCGGTGCAAGCCCACATCAGTAGGTGCTGGTTTTTCTTCCAGAGTGATGTTACCTGTTACTGGATCAATCCGAAACAGGCCTTTGTTGTTCCCACTCACAATTGTATACTTAAGTTCAGCATTCATCCCAGTGTCAATATCCACTGCAAAAACTTCTGCTATCACGGAGCCAGGAATGGCTGAGAGAGGCACCAACTTAAAAGAAGTATTAGAAGGTGGCGAAATGACAACTGGACTATTGTCATTGACATCCATGACATTTATAGTTACTTTTGCAGTAGAGGAACGGGGTGGTTGTCCCCCATCAGTGGCTTTGACATCGAAAGTGTAGGAACTCTGCTGCTCTCTGTCAAATGAGACATTTGACTTTATGACTCCAGAATAGGGATCCAACACAAAATTATCATTGTCATTTAAAATGGAAAGAGTCACAGCTTTATTCTCTCCAGCATCTGCATCTGTCACTGTGATTACCCCCACGGTACTATACTTTGGCAGATTCTCAGACACAAAAAATTGAAAATGATTATGAGTAAACTTGGGGCTATTGTCATTCTCATCCAGAACAGTAACTATCACAGCCGCTTGGCTTTGGAGGGGAGGGGTCCCATTGTCCCTGGCAGTTACTGTAAAAATGAATCTTTCTTGTTCTTCTCTGTCAAAGACTCTGGAGGCTGTCAAAACTCCTGTCTTTCGGTCCAGATCAAAGAAGGAGGCATTCGGTCCAAGCTGATAAACAATATCTGCATTTTTCCCACTGTCTTCATCTGTGGCACTAATAGTTGTTAAGTACAACCCACGTCGGTTGTTTTCAGAAACTGACAGCTCAATTACAGGCTGGTTGAAAATTGGTGGGTTGTCATTTTCGTCCTCAAGCTTAACCCTTACCAGAGCAGTCTGATTTAAACTGGGCTTCCCAGAATCAGAGGCAACAATTTTAAAGCTGAATTCTTTGGTGCCCTCATAGTCCAACAAAGAGGAGGTCTCTAACAAATATTGGTTGTCGTATACTGCCTTCAAATGAAACGGGACCTCTCTTTCAATAAAACAGATCACTTTGCCATTCACATCTGTGTCCTTATCTGAAACTGTAATTAGGGCGATCTTTGTATTGACAGGATCTTTCTCAGACAAATACACTGTGCCATTGATGGGACTTATAATGTACCTGAGGTCTATGTTTGGAGGGTTATCATTTACATCAGTAACATTGATGGTAACCGTTGCTCGAGCGGGAGTGGAGCTGCCATCACTGGCCAGCACTGTCACTTTGTGAATGGCTGTCTCCTCTCGATCTAAGGACCTCTGAACTGTAATCAACCCAGTAGTATTATTTAAAGCAAAGAGTCTTTTGGTTGCAGGGGCGACCTGGGCACCAAAAATGTACCGGATTTCAGCATTACTGCCTATATCTGCATCAGTGGCATGGAGCTGAATTACAGAGGTGCCTACGGGAGCATTCTCTGGAATGTGCACCTCCACTTGACCCTCTTTAAACACTGGCCTGTTGTCATTTACATCACTTACTGTGATCTGCAGTATGGCTGTGCTGGATTTCTGTGGAGTGCCTCCATCCTCTACTTTGATTTTCATCACATAGGTATCTTTCTGTTCTCTGTCCAAGTTTTGCTGAACAATCAATTGTGGCCACTTCTCTCCTTCCGGAGTTTCCACGATATCCAGTCCAAAAACACTCTGCCCATTTAACAATTCATAATGCTGTACACCATTGAAGCCTGTGTCAGGATCTGTTGCTGATGGAATTGGAAAGCGGCTGTTGATCAAAGTGTTTTCTGGGATGGAAATATTGATGACAGGAGATGGAAACATGGGGGCATTATCATTGGTATCCTTGACAATTATTTTAATTTTGATCAGCCTGAAAAAATCATTGGGGAGGATCACCACCTCAAGTTCAAAGAAACACTCATTCTCCTCATCATAAGAGGCTCCAGCACAGAGTTTTTCTCTGTCTATTCTATTGGAGGTCGTGAAAATTTCGCCAGTGCTACTGGATACTTTCACCAAAGGGGCATCCCCAGCTTTAGAAACCAGTCTGTAGACAAGGCTAGCGCTGGTCCCTGTGGCAGCATTGATGTGAGAAATGTTCAGATCCTTTGGTATGTTTCCTATGGGCACATTTTCAGGCAATTCCTCTCTAATAGTGTAAATAAGTTCTTGAGCTATTGCAGAATCCAGCCTTAAACAGGCAATCAGAGCAGCCAACAGGTAAAAATCCCTCAGGTCCATGATAATGTATTTATTTTCTTTTCCTGGGTTTTAGGGTTTAAAGGTTTCCACTGAGGAATGATGCACAAATTGCAAGAGGAAGCGTGCATGGGCTGGAGGATGCATTACATCTCATGACTTATTTGGAGACAGCCACTGTCAACACAATCATATAGACAATATTATTCTTCAGTAAACAAAAGCACACAGTCACGAAATATCACAACACATTTTCCCACTGCATATTAGTAAACATGGCAGTTTGTTCTGCCACTGTTTGCAACTTAACTCTGTGGATAAAAATACTAAATATCCCAGGCTTGTTGCATTTGCCCAGAGAAAATGAAATTATCTACTTTTGAATTAAAGACAGCTGCTATTTTTACCTGTATTCACCCACACTGTTTTCAGGATACTGTTTAATTCAAAACATGCGTTCTTGTTCTCCTCTTCCCCTCCACCACCACCACCACGCCCCCACCCCCCATCTCCTCCCATTCACACCCCCCCTCCCCCCGGCTTACCCGCCTCCTGGCTTCTAACCGACCTCCCTTAGTTTTTTGGGGAGCCAGTGAAAAACACTAACTTAGCTATGGTTCCTGCTAATTGCTTTCTCACATGTCATACGTGATGCGTTTTCTTCTCTGCCACACTGAGTCATCTCTTTCTTCTAAAAAGACTATCTTTTTTCTTTCCTCCCAGTTCTTCAACTGCCTTCTAAATACATTTTTACTGGGAAGCAAGCATCCGGACATGCTGCTGCAGCGACAGAAGCAAGTCTCTGGCCACTGTATAACCTCATTGCCTAAAAGCACAATACCAAGACCTTCAGTTTCTTACCCAGACCTTGCTCTCATTTCTCCATGTTGCCAAATTATCACCATTAGAATTAAGAAACACATTAAAACTTTTAGAATATATATAATAACATAAGATTCCTTATCCTAGAGGTGGAAGAGAGTGCCAAGATATAAGTGAAACGCAGCTAACATTTCCATGTAACAGCACAATATTTTCTACTGAGCATCAAAGAGGGGAAAAAAACGCAGTTTCTTAACCCCGATCTCCGGTTGTAGTATTAGTAACATCGGCCACACGTAAATACTGCAACTCAATAACGCAGGTAAAAAGCCTTCTGCTTAGATGCCCTCCTAACTGCAATTTAAACGGGTGCAAGGCTCCAGACAGCTACCTACTTGAGTAGAACTGGTCAGTACCCAGGCTCTAATCTTCTCGGCATTAGGCTGCACGGTAGCTGATGCCCGCGATTAGTTCCGGCAGAGTGATGCAGGTAGGGATGCAGATACAGCCTAGTAGGTGAGCTCTGCCCCAACAGTCTACCCAACTACAAACATCCCTCGTCTACACCGAGGACATATCTAAACACAAAATTTACAATTGTGCATGCGAAACTTTACACTTACGTTAGTTGCCTCAACCTTTCCCCTTTCCCGGTATGCTGCAGTTAGAAATGAGCTGTTCCAACATATAGAAAGCCATGCGTCTGGTAGCACCAGTTTGGGGAGAAATCAGAAGCAGCAAAACGTTTCCTCCTTGTAAAATGTGTTGCTTCGGGCTGGCAAATTAGCAACTCCAGAGAACAAATTCACAGATTTGTCGTTAGTCATTCTCTCCACATTTCGTCTCTATTACCCACGGGGTCTGAGCTCTTCTGGTATTTAACGCACACACAACATCCAGTTGCACTTCTTCAGCTCGGGGGTATTTTCCACAGCATCAAAGATACCATTTCCCTCCGATGTCAATACTGCTTAAGTCTCTAACTTCTTGTAGGAAACGTCAGAGTTGGGGTGATGGTGAGTCTCTGGCTGCTCTCGGGGTGGGTGACAGTGCCCGAAAATTCCTAATTGGTTATCTCTTTCGTGCTTCGGAGACTCTAGGGCGCTCCTTCCTGTCTGGCACGCTCTCCCTCTCTCCCTTCTCCTTTGCCCCTCTCTCCTTCTCTCTCTGAACTGAATTTCTTGATAGAACTCTCAATAACCCAGAGGGAGGGCGTGACGGCCTAAGCCCCTCCCCCGGCCCCTGATTGGCCCGTATCTTGCGGTGCGGGCGGCCGCAGCTGGGCGTGGAACAAGGCGCTGACTATCTGCCAGCCTCTCCTCCCCATCGCCCCCTCGGCAGCCGCGAAAACCCGGAGACCCGATCCTGGCCCCGGGAGAGCCGGGTTCCAGGAGGTGCACTGAGCATGCCCAGCAGGGTCCGGCCCGGGAGGGAAAAGGCGACGCTCCCCAGGCCCCCGCGGACGCGGCTCTCACGGGCGCTGAGGGGCTGGCGGCTGCTCCGGACGGCACAGGGCAGCGAGCGGCCGAGACCCGGCGGTCGCACGAGCAGGGGGAGCGGGAGGCCGGCCGGGCGTGCGGGCGGGGATCCGGCAGCCTCGGGCACCGTTGCGGGCGGTTGGGGGATGCCGAGGCGGCTCAGCTGCCGGCGCACGTTCCACACTTCTCTTTGCTAAATGGAGGGACCAAAATGCACAGATGGGAGAGTCCACCCGGGGTCCAAGACTCACTGTCGGCCCTCGGAGGAGAGCACGGCCCAGCAGATCCCCGGAGCGCGTTAAACGGGCTACATTCCCGGTGCCGCAACTAGAGGCTTTTGCTGGCGAGGACATTGGCAAGAAGGGCAGAGAGGGCGGATAGGAAAGGTTGGGACGGAGGATATTCGAATCTCAATCAAGACCGGAAAGAAAATTAATTTGAGCCCTCCTTACGTGCAGGGTGACGGAAGCTGCCGGGAGAAAGGGAAAATGACAGCCTCTGGGATCCCCTAGTCACCCTAGTCAGCCCTAGGCCAGTCTGCTTAGCGGGGCGAAGTCTTGTCTCCAGTAGCAGGACGGGCCGCGGCGGCCGATCCAGGCTGTCCTTGCACTTCTGCTCCCGCCGCGCCCAGAACCTGTGAACCCGAGCTCGCCCGAACGTGCGGCTGCGGCAAAAGCCGCTTCACCTCACCTAACTGCAAACTTTGCTCGGGAGAGGCTGGAAGGAGTCCTGTCCAGCTGCTCCCCAAGCTGTGGAACGTTTCCTTTCCTCTTACACTCTCTGCTGATTCCAACTTGACATGTAGTACTTGTCTTTCCCTGTGCAATTCATTTCTCTGACTCCTGTTCCGTCGAGTATCCTCACGCGTTTCTCATTTTCATGCAAGAGCCGGATAGAATGACTCTCGAAAGTCTTTTTCCTTAAATATTGGCCCCGAAAGCACTATCTATATTTGATTGATCTTTTAAAATCAGTAAACCACGAAGGTTTGTTTTATGGGTTGTACCTACGACGCCAGATGCCTGAGTAAAGTTAGAAGCATTAATAATAGTAACAGTTCACTTGGAACAAAAAATATAATATTTTTTTTGCATGACCTATAAAGGTTGTCTGAGAAGGTCTTAATGCATGATTGAATAACTTGTTCTAACTTACAGGGAGGATAAAGGGCATCTATTTTAAACCTCCGTGTTTCCCATTCTGTATTGGGCTGAAGATGCCTTGAAGGCTCTTTCATGTAGTTATGCACGCGATGGCGTGTTCGGGAACACCTTTTGTTTTTGAATACAATGGCTTTCCTTTTTAAATATGAACACTTATTTTTAGATATTTAAAAGTAAAAAAAAAAAATCACTAAGCAAACCTACCAAACTTAGATACTGTATAAATAATTCCATTATTTAACCAATTCATTTGACATTGCAATTTTTCCACATCTATGGAAATGTAAGGATTTTTTTCGGACTTTTCCTCAGGTGAATATACACAGTAAAAGTGCAGTGCCTCAAAGCCCACTGTAAAATACATGAATCCCATCTATGTGAAATATAAAACAGGTTTCTAGCAGACCATAGGTTGATACTGTTTTTAAATGGCTAGATAACTCTTATGGTAGTATTTTGTATGATTAGAATATACAAAATTTAAGAACAAAAAGGACTGCTTAAGTAGCTAAAAAGTCAAAAGAAAAATATTACCTCATACAATAATGCCAGTGAGTTGAAGATTCTTTTATTTTACCACAGTGAATGATCATTTTGCCGTTCACAAAATCTACAATTAAAGCTAGTGCATTTTTCCAATTGCCACAGATTTTATGCTCTGAACTAGTTTAAAATGGTAAATGAACCATCATTCTGATACATTTACAATAAACATAGCAGCACAGCCACTTTCCAGTTCATTTTGTAAGCATCAGTTATCTCACACTCTTATTCTAATCATACCGTAGTCATTTCAAAGTCACAACACATAGCTTAGCCATAATTAACATTATCACTAAGTGGAATTGTTTCTGTCTGCTAAGGGGTAGTTGCTTGTAGTCAGGACCCATTATTATCCTATGCTCATAAATGAAATCTTAGTATGAACACAGATGAAAGTTAAGGAAGAGAAAAATATCATCACATTATAAAAAATTATGACCATGAGACTTCAATTAACAGAAACCACAGGTCAAAGCCCCAAAACAAAGCCCATGTAGATTCCTTTCAAAGGCCATTGAGTATAATATAGAAATAGAGCTACTGACTTCATTGCATTCCATCTTATGGGTGTTTATTTGGCATGTATAAATTAGTGGGATTCTTTAATCATAATAGTTTTACCTCTTAAAGCTAGAATAGTTGAAGCTTGTTTGCCCTATTATATTTCAACTGCTAAACTCTTGAAGGAGAACTGTTATTAGAGATCTTATTAATATTCCTGGAAGAAAATTAAATATGAAGGGTCATTTTCCTAACTCTCTGCTATCTTAACTTGAGGCTTCTGCCCAAACCACAATATAAAATATTTGCATATTGAGAGCTGCTCACAATCCACCTCTCCTAATTTTGTTTTAAAAAGGTATATCTGCATAATTATGAATTAGGGAAATGATAATATTCATTAGTTTTAGTTTTCGTAGGGGAACATCTATTTTTTTTTTTTTTTGCTGAATTTTAATCACCTTTTTCTTTCATGAATTTAATAAAATGTTAGATTCTCATTTATATGATTTCCAGTACACATCTTCCAATATACATGTTACATTTCTGATTAGATCTCTTCAATTAACCCTTATACATCTTTGTCAATGCATGTTTTCTACAGCAAGGAATTATCACCTGTGTTGTACCTGATTAGTACTTTAAGAATTATGCCATCCAGGCTGTAGTAAAATTACCTTCGTGTTCTCTGCCGGTTATATAGGTCATGGGATACTTGTGAAGCTAAGTCACCTTCGGCCAGCTAAGCGAAGACTAAAATACTATTACAGATTTATACAGAAAGAGATATCAAGTTAGTAAAATTATTTTATATTGCAAGAATTTAATGTTGTTTATATATTTAAACAATAATTTCCATGTAATGGCATTTAATAACCTGAATTACTACGCAGTTCAGTTTGTTAATTGGATTTTCACCTATGATTTTCTAGTTACCACTCAGCATTTTAAAATTACATTTCACACAGAGATCATAAAAGCTTTTTCATGTTACATTTTCTATAAATGACATAGACTGTGGTATTTGGAATGATCAAACGACCTCCTCAAGGATTTCAAGACTAAAATTTTCAACTCTAATGTACTAGTTCTATATTCCAATCAAAGGTAAAAATAAAATAATAAAATAAAATAATAAAATAAAATAAAATTCTATTGTGCCCTGTACTTCAAAAGTTCCTTTAATCCAGATGTTTTCTTGTGGCTAACCGACATTAATCAATCAATCACAGGGACTTTTATGTCACAGCAGGTTTTATTGTCCCCATTTCGCGGAAGAGGCTAGACTATTGTACTGTATTTCCTGGGGGTAGAGCGGGAATTGTGTGAAAAATGCTAAGGGTTATTTGTGTTACCACTATTTAGAAAATGACAATGCAGAATTTTAACACCACAAAAAGAAAATTAACACCTTTTAAAGCTGCAAACTGGCAAAGTGTAGTAAGCTCCTTGAATCATTCTTTTGCTCTACTATTGGCTCTTTTCTTTGAACATCTTTCTTTTTTTTTTTTTTCTTTTCTTTTAAGGAAAACTTAGACCAAGGTATTCAAATGACAAAGAAAGCAGGTGACAAGAAGCTTCACTCTATTTGAATGACTGAACTAAATTTATCCCAATTTGCTATATTTTTATCACTGACTGATTATAGATGTCAGGTTTGTAGCTCTAACAGTTACTACAATATAAACTGACATTTTCCAGTGCCACTATTTTATCATGATTACTATATAAATAAAGAAAATATTGAATTTTCAGATTTCATTATTGGTTGTTTAAGACTTCATACAGACATAGCTCTCATAACAAATGGTTTCCCCATTACACGTAGGGCTCAAGCAATCACTTAGGAAACATGAAAAACTGGTTTAATGATAGTAAAGAGAGAATAAATATAAGTTTAAATAATTTGATCATTTTAAAATCATGTAATTTCAAGGGAAATATACAAAACTTCCTATTCTTGTGTTTGTATGATATTTATTTTTGTAAGACTTGTTCAATTAGAATATCAAGTATGATCAATTCATATTTACATAAATGATAAATGTCCGAATATAGCATGCACATTATTTGAAAGCACCTCTATTTACACTAAAAATAGAGATAGAAAAATGTTGAGATAAGAACATGTTTTAAGCACAAATGCATTTGCCCAAAGATAATTGGGAAATTATTTTTCATAGATATTAGAACTATTTTAAGTTAAAATATAGTACAAATTTTAAAATTCTCTTTCAGTAGTACTATTTCTTATCATAGGAATATGTTGTTAAACATAGGAGTTTATATCACTTGAAACAACATCATTCTAGTCACTTTCATTCCTTGTTCCCCTCCCCCCAATTTCTTCATGCATATGTTTCTTTTATGCCTATTTTCCCTGTCCTCTTTAAAAAAAATAATAAGCTCACATAATATTCTTCTAGGCGCCCAATTTGTTACATAATGTGCATATAAATAGACTTACTAATATAGGGCAGGATA